AGCAGTGTCGAAGCGATTGGGCACCATCCCATTCTAAATCCTTATCCTCCTATCCCTTCCACATCCAATATAGCCGTAATGGCTTTCTGCTTTATCCTGATAATAACCTTACCTATAGCATCAACCAATCCGTTAAAAATGCGACGCTTCTATAACAACTTAAACCACCGTAATACTGACGTTCTCGACGCATTGCCCTACATGTTTTTTTCAGACTGATCGGACTTTCTATTCCATTATGGTTCGGTCAGTATCTTCAAAACGGCTGATCAAGACTTGAAACGTTAAGTTCCTAAGTCTGAAAGTGAAAAAATGACTGTTGTCGAAGTCTTATATGTAGGCAATATCACATATTAAGTCTTATATGTTGACAGTATCACATATTAAGCCTTATATATTGACAAAATCACATAACAAGTCTAGTATGCTACGAATAAGACTTCAGACTTCCATTGTTAAGTAACCAGTATGTTTTTTTTCAGCCTTAATGAGACACTTAAGGTGCGAGGACATGTTCTTAAGTTATATTAATAACTTGGGACAAAAGAACAGGTGTTTGAGGACCTTCTCACGTGCTGTATTGAGGGTGTTCTTGGGAATATTAATATATGCAGGGGTGAGAGTGCCTTGTTGGTGGGGTGTAGGAGAGGGGTGACAGGTGGGGGTGACAGGGGAGGGGGTGACGGGGAGGGGTGACAGGGGAGGGGGTGACAGGCGGGGGTGACAGGGGAGGGGGTGACAGGGTGGGGTGACAGGACAGTTAATTAACAGTTGAGAGGCGGGACCAAAGAGCCGAAGCTCAACCCCCCCCCCCCCCCCGCCAGCACAACTAGGTGAATACACAGGAAAAGAGACCTGAGAGTGGACATAACACTAAACCTAACTCCAGAGGCTCATATAAACAGAATAACATCAGCGGCATACTCTACTCTGGCACAAGTCAGAACATCTTTCAGAAACTTGAATAAGGCGGCTTTAAAATCACTATATACCGCCTGTGTGAGGCCAGTCTTAGAGTACGCCGCACCATCGTGGACCCCCATCTTAAAAAAAAACACATAAGAAAGCTTGAACAGGTGCAGAAGTTTGCAACGAGACTCGTCCCAGAGCTGCGAGGGATGAGGTACGAAGACAGACTGAAGGAACTAAACCTGACCACGTTAGAAAGGAGGAGGGAGAGCGGGGACATGATACAGACGTATAAAATACTTAGAGGGATTGACAAGGTGGAAAGAGAAGAAATGTTTACAATGAGTAACAACAGAACAAGGGGGCACGGATGGATGCCTGAGACTCAGATGTGTCATAGAGATGTTAGAAAGTTCTCCTTTGGCGTGCGGGGAGTGAGTAAATGGAAGACCTAAAGGAGCAGGTTGTAGAAGCTAATTCCATTCATAACTTTAAAAGCAGATATGATAGATAAATAGATAGACATAGATAGTAGGTATCTATTACTCTCTCATCTATCCTTATCTCAATTATGGTATTTGTGTTTGGAGTTCTACTACCCATAATCACATACATCCTCTGATTACTCAACACAAAGCTGCTACTAGAACAATATCAAACACTGGCCCCAGACACCACTCGGTACCCTTACTTAAATATTGGAATATGTTACATATTTAGTCACTGCACATATTTTCAAGGGTACACTATATGTATAAAACGCTGAACTGTAATACCAATCCTGACCTTAAAAGCTTTCTAGAAGGTTGTAACAGAACCCATGAGCACCACACCAGAAACAAATACCTTTTTGATATTCCAAGAGTACGACTTAACCAAACTAGGAATGCTCTACAAATCAAGGGACCCAGAATGTGCAATGACCTTCCCAATCATGTTAAAGACTGTACCTCTTTCAACCAGTTTAAGATGAAAACTAAGCACTACCTAATTAACTCCCTGTAACCTACCTTACCCCATAAATGTCAACCCATGTCTTACTATTTTCAAACAATACTGTTTGTTGACCAACTTGTATAACTACTTTGATGATGACCAGACCACACACTAGAAATTGAAGGGACGACGACGTTTCGGTCCGTCCTGGACAATTCTCAAGTCGATCGACTTGAGAATGGTCCAGGACGGACCGAAACGTCGTCGTCCCATCACCTTCTAGTGTGTGGTCTGGTCAACATACTTCAGCCACGTTATTGTGACTCATCGCCTGCAACTACTTTGATCTCAATTAATATTAAATTTTAGTCCAAGTATTTTTCCCACATCTTGCCCAAAACGCTGTGTGTATTAGTGGCTTCAGGCATAGTATGTACTAGCTGTATCTATTAATACAATGTTATGCTTGTAACTCATCTTGTAAGTATGGTGTATTAGTGGCTTCAGGCATAGTATGTACTAGCTGTATCTATTAATACAATGTTATGCTGGTAACTCATCTTGTAAGTATGTACTTTTACCTGAATAAACATTTGAATTGATTTGATAGAGAAATAGGCCAGTTGTCAATCCATTAGACAACTAACGGCTCGGAAATACGAGTCCAAAAACTAGAACTCGATCCTGCATTCACAAATATGTGAGTACAAATAGGTGAGTACACTCTCACACACACACACACACACCTGGTGTGGGGCCCGGTAGCCTGGTGGATAGCACGCAGGACTCGTAATTCTGTGGCGCGGGTTCGATTCCCGCACCAGGCAGAAACAAATGGGCAAAATTTCTTTCACCCTGAATGCCCCTGTTACATAGCAGTAAATAGGTACCTGGGAGTTAGTCAGCTGTCAGGGGCTGCTTCCTGGTGTGTGTGTGTGTGTGTGTGTGTGTGGTGTGGAGAGAGAGAAAAAAAAAGTAGTTAGTAAACAGTTGATTGATAGTTGAGAGGTGGGCCGAAAGAGCAAAGGTCAACCCCCGCAAACACAACTAGGTGAATGGAGCCCCCACACACACACACACACACACACACACACACACAAAGTGGAAATAGACACACACACACACACACACACACACACACACACACACACACACACACACACACACACACACACTCAGGGTAGTTAACAAATGGAATGCATTAAGTAGTGTTGTGGTGGAGGCTGACTCCTTACACAGTTTCAAATATAGATATGATAGAGCCCAATAGGCTCAGGAATCTGTACACCAGTTGATTGAGAGTTAAGAGGCGGGACCAAAGAGTCAGAGCTCAACCCCCGTAAACACAACTAGGTGAGTACACACACACACACACACGCAGTTAACAACATAATTGAGAGGGCAGGCTGTGTTGCCTGTAGAATTCGATCCCATCTGCTCATCATGGGGAACCTCAGTCACGGAAGGATAGACTGGGAGAGGAAGATAGACATGGAGAGATAGACACGGAGGAGAGGATACATGGAGAGCTAAACTACTTGAGGTGGCAACAAACAACTTTTTAAGCCAGCATGTCAGGGAACCCACTAGGATGAGAAGCAACGATGAACCAGCGAGACTCGACCTAGTCTTCACTCTGAACGACTCCGACATAAGGAAAATTGACTTCGAGGCCCCAGTAGGAATGAGCGACCACCGTGTACTGACGTTTGAGTATCTGGTTGAAGAAGGGTTATTGAACTCGAGGAGAGGAACTGAAAACAAAAGGTTGACATTCCGTAAGGGAAACTATGAGGAGATAAGAAAATTCCTAACAGATATAACATGAGCTCAGGGAAAAGACGGCCTAAGGTAAGATGGACTACATCAGGCATAAGTGTAAGAAGGCAGCAGACAAGTTCATCCCGGCCTAAAAGGAAAAAAAGAAAATGCAGATGAGAAAACCATGGTTTACCTTGAGGTTACCTTGAGGTTTACCTTGAGGTTACCTTGAGGTGTTCCGGGGTTTAGCGTCCCCGCGGCCCGGTCGCCGACCAGGCCTCCTGGTTGCCGGACTGATCAACCAGGCTGTTGGACGCGGCTGCTCGCAGCCTGACGTATGAGTCACATCCTGGTTGATCAGGTATCCTTTGGAGATGCTTGTCCAAGCACCTCCAATCAGAGTTTAATCAGAGATGTAAGCTAGCAAAGCAACTAAGTAAAAGGGCGTGGAGAAACTATAGAAATAACA